CCCCCGAACCCCCACCCCACCCAAAAAGGGGGTGCCTGGACTAACAAAATTACTTACAACTCAAAAACTATTCAAGATAGGAGCTTCAGATTATTTTATTTTATTTATTTATTTTTTGTGTGTTTAGCTCTGATGAAGGGCTATCCACCGGGCCAACCAAACCCACCCAAAACAATAAATCTGTTCTGATGAATTCTGGTGCATTGGTACTTTGCATACGTGCGGGGGTCACACATGCTACCTAGTGTCTAGTTTAGATATTAAATTGCATGTAAGCACTTAGAGTGTTTATACATACAAAGGTTGTTTAAGCATTTAGTTATTTTAAAAGGTAACCTGAGCAAATAGCAAAAATGTCATTAGAGCATTTGATTTAGCAAAATACTGACCCTGCTTCATTGCACAAACAACGTTTTAAATCTGTTAAGTAAATGCTTATTACTGCTTTAATAACCAACTAACTTATCAATGATGCATTAATCCTTAATAAAAAAGGTACCTTTTTTTGTGAAGTTGTACCAAAGTTCTCTGCAGCAGAGACGATTCTAATAATAGCTCAAGAAACTTTACGGTGATACGTTTTGTTTCCTTAAAGTATGAATGGTGGAAATTTGATCAATCGAACGCCGTGGAATCTATGGATATATATAAACAATTCACTTATTCCAGAGATGTTGTGACATTGTTTTGGAAGCGAAGAGGAGGCTTTTGAAGAAAGCAACAGCTCAGTGCTGTAGGGCATTACCTTTATAGCAAAAGCTGACTTGTTTTTTTGAAGTACTTTTGTATTCCTGTCAATTTTCCCTTTTGAAATCAATCTTTTAGAAGCAGTATGCCTGTGGCAAACACAAGTGAGGAAAAACAGCGACTGATATGCACACACATGCACTTACCTTCCGATAATTAGGTTGGCAGTTGCCCTTCAGCCACAGTGAGAAAATATTCAAAGATTTGTTGGTAGTCAGGTCTTCTGCTACAAAGCCCATGTTTTCAGCAAACACGGAGGCTACGAACAGAGAAGCGACACTTTCAGGTGAAGTTACACGTTCCGGACCACTTTGACCTTGGTTTAAGACTAAAAGGGTCACAAACAAAGAAAGGACCAGAGGCAATTTAATTTTATTTTGGCTGGTAGACTTAGTTTGTAAAAGAGCTGAGGGGTTSTCATCACTATCTGAAGAACAACAGATCTGCTATGACAAATACTTTGGAATTTCTTGATTTTGGCCATCAGGTACTTTTTTTTATATATATATTTTTCTATTTTCATTTCACTCACTGCATTGAAAAAAAAGAAAGCTCTGGTAATTGTTCTTTTCCCCTTTTTAGGCAGCACTTGAGTAGTGCGCAATCTTTCTCTCAATGCTCGAGGGACGATCTGACCAGTGCGTTTTTCTCAAACCGCTAATGTTTGTCATTTCGGGATTAAAGTTAATGCTGTTTCTAAAAGGTTTTGGCCCGGACGCAATAAGTGCCTGATTAAGATCATTAATGCAAATTCAAGTATCCCTCAGACACGTTTTTAGCCTTTTTCTTTTAAACTATGCAATCAAACTACAAAACAAAAGTTTGGATTTATAAATGAAAACGTGCGTGTACCGTTTAATTACCACATAAATCTAGGTTTTATTCTTAGTCTTAAGTGAACAATGCTCCACACAAACCTGCCTCTCCCACAAGCATTGTGTGCTCGGTGCGCTCCATCACAGCTCTGGCAACTCCAATAGCATTTTTGATTCTTCTCAAGTCAGCGACTGCGCCCACCTCCATCGTGTTTCTACACAGAGGAGAAACAAATAGTGTCCTGTGAGTAAACCTGACTCCGTTATAAATCAGTGTTTGGGTGGATTTGAAATTGCACCAACATGTGTGAAGTTGTTGTGATGAACTGGAATATAAAGAGCTCACGTTTCTAGGGTTTGCACACAGTTAAAGCAGGTTCTTCTGGGTATAATACCAATTGAAAACAAATAAAGATATTAAAAAAAACCTAAACTAATTATCGTACGCTGCTAAAAGACAAAGGCGGACAATATTGTTTTTGCCTGTAGGTGTGTAATATTTCATGAACTACTGGATACATTTAAATGAAATTTGCACAAAGTAACCACTGGATACATCTACATCTGGTTAACTTYTGACGTCAAATCGATTCAAGATGGCCGTCACAGCCAAGTGATACAACAAAATAATAATAATAACAATAATAATTTAATATCACAGATATTGAATTAGACTGTGGCCCACGTTGGCCACAGTCTATGTGGGTTGTAGGCCACTTGTGTCGGCTGCATAAACAGCTCTGAAAAAAAGACGGTCCAGTCTACAGAAGACGTATACATGTTTGCGTGACCTCCTTACCACAGTGATACCTTTTATATCCCATCGCTTCAGTTGTTTTTTTTTCAAGGTATACCTTTGTACAATTCAGTTTTATTAGAAAAACGTTACAAATAGATAAATAAAAAGCATTACTAATTTGGATTTAGCTTCAGTATCAGTATACTTGTAAATGCATTTTATTTAACATCTCATTGCAGGATAACTTTCTTCAGCTTTGTTGCTTAAGTTAAATGTTTTGGTCCGTGATAAATTTCCAAACTCCACCGTTAAAAAAAACAAAAACCAACTCCAACTTAAAGTAATGATTTTAAAAAAACTTAGCCATCATTGTTTTTCTGTTTGATTTGCTGACGGCGCGACGAATTCTGGGAAACCGTTGGCCGCGTAGGATACTCAAATGCAGCCTAGGTTTTCGGGGTTTTGTCGGCCGCATGAGTAGGTGTCCACAAATTTGGCCAGCCTACGGCGCGGGGCACCGAAGTAAGCGGCCGACAAATGTGGCCCGCATCCGCTGCAACCAACTGAGACATGAATATCAGTTTCACAGATACTGGCCTAAAGTTTGATTTGGTAGTAGCTAAGAGGATTCACAACACATACTCTGAGTGACATTTCTTGATATCACCTCTAACAGCATTTTTGAGATTTGAACATAACAGCTATGACTCAACATAAAGAGGATCTTAGTTTAAAATGCTAGCATGAAAAGCAGCAGGGGATTTGCGTTCCTTTAATGAATGTAAAAAAATAGGATGCCCCTTCCGTCAACTAATTAACTTGACAGGTGCCCCTCCCCCTTTTGACAGCTGATGACTGGAAGTCTTGCCCCTTTTTGACACCTGATAACCGGAAGTCCCACCTCTCGGCTGTCATTCTCCTAGGGGGCGGTAACCCTGCCCTCRAAGGGCAGGGATTTTGCCCATATATGGTCAAAGGGGTGGGACTTCTGGTCATCAGCTGTCAAAAGGGGGAGGGGCACCTGTCAAGTTAATTAGTTGACGAAAGGGGCATCGTATTATTTTTAATATTACATCTTTAAATGTTAGCTTTATTGTTTTTTTTAATCATTGTAGCATTACTGTATGATTAGACTCCTAAAGTTGAATATAGCCAGTGTCCAGTGAATTTGCAGTCATATTGAGATAACTGTCCCCCTTCCTTCTRTGTATCATCACTCCCCAAAAAAGACAATTTCCAAGCTAAATGAAAGGCGTATTCCATTAAAAAAAAGTAAACAGCTTTCTGCTTTTCTTTTGTTGTGAGCTGACATTTACTTCCCATTATAACTTCTGAGACTGTAAATGTTAGTATTTAAGGACCTAATAATTGGAAAGCTTTCAGATCATAATGAGACTCTTAATTAGCACTTCCCTGCAGAAGGCTTGAAAGAAAGGTCAGCCAGTTAAGTGTGTAAATGTTAAAGATACATGGATAGAAGCAGCACAAATTGTGGTTTAAAAAAATGAAGGAAGAGTGTAACAGTATGTTGACAGCTGCAGGTAAATAATTAGCATTTAAAGATGTGAATCATCATCAGTCAAATATAGGTTCTAATGTTTAAGAACTTCACAGCTTTGTCTCTGTTTATTTCAAGACATTACATGCTCAGGTCAGATGGTGCTAAAGCATAACCTCGGAAAAATCCATCTTCCGTGGGCCTTCTGGCCATCTTGAGCACGCCACATTCTTTATTTTTAGACTAACGGCGCGGCGTACGTCCACGACTTACCCGTTCATGATCAAGGCGTCCAGCGTGGTCTCTCCGGACTCGTCGGGGCTGCCGCCAAACCCGACGCTGCCATCGCACTGCTCTACCTCGCAGCGGGCGCAGCCTTTCTCCACGGCGTCCAACACCGAGCCCCCGGACCGAAGAACACTCCACGCTACACAGACAATGAGCCTTTTCAGCATGTAGGGTCGCTCTGTTCCAGCAAATCTTTATTTGRCTAAAAACGGTTGGAACTGATGGAGACAGTTTGACTCAACATGCCACAGAAACAAGATTTAACAATTACATTTAGATTTTAAYTTACCCTTGCTTCCTTTGGGATGGTAACTGTAACATTTGTTTATTGTAAGAGCAAATAGCCAAATTAATTAAATATATTTGCATATATGGGTTAATAAGTATTTTTTTTAATGTGCAAAGATGACCAGTGCAATGGCTTCTTAATAAACAAGAGGCTGACAAGCATTTGGTCACTAATCCTTCACGTACCCACGAGGGATCAAAATACCCACTGATGGCTGAGCCACCGGCTTCCCACTAAATGCTCAGACTATTCCACAGTGTTCAGTGTTATTTTCCTTTCTATTAAACTCAGCATTCAATATTTTTTTCCATTTATAATATTCAGCAGAATGGAAGCAGAGATTAGCCAGCTGCTTCTATAAACCCCTAATGGAAAAGATTTACATGGGTAGATCAACAGTCGTGGCTCAGACTCCAACTTTAAATATCTCCCAACAAAACATTTCTCAGTTTTTTTTTCTTTTCATTTCTATGAAAGAAAAAAAAAGATTTGACAGACATCTGTTAAATAAAAGGCATCCATTTACCCAAGAGAGATTCTTAGGTGAACTTTAATCACCTCCATGTCTGAACTGATGCTTAAGATGTTTTGAATACCACTTCTATCAGTTTTTTTTTCCCCGCGTTGAGCCGTGCACCCGCTGGAAATCKACTTGACGGATAAGTCACAAGTGACGCTGAAATATTTTCAGTTTCAATTTGAACATGTCCAATGTATCACCCTGAAGGAAATCAAACAGAGCGAGGGCAGACCTGCCAGTGGCAGCTATGAAGCCGAGTGGGTTCAGCCCATTTCATATCCCCATCTGAGACTCTGATGGTCTTTCAGACGGATAAGCTCTAGTTGAGTCGCAAGTRCACTTGGAAAAAATAATAATAATAAATACAAGGTTTAATGGTCTGAGAAGGGGGAAAAAAAGTGAAAATACTAGTTATGAAACAGTCGGGGTCTGAACTTAACCACAAAATACACTGATAGAAATTCCTTCTTCTCCAATCCAGTTTGAAAAAGGGTTAGTGTTATTTATTTATTTATTTATTTTTAGAAACTAGATTAAAGTTAAAATTATGAAAACCCCCTATTCTAATAAATAAATAAATAAAAAAGAGGCCATTGTGTGGTACCACTTTACAATATGGCTCCTCTTATAGATGGCTCATGAATAGTTTATAGATAGGTTATTGATTCATCTGTAAACACTTTATAAATCATTAATAAATGTTTATTATGGATTTATTAAGGRCAGGAAAGAGACAAAACTGTCTGGTTTCTCACCAAATAGTGAGCCAAATCCATTTGTGTACATGTTACTAGGTTTATAAGCACAATTATGTATTGGAAACACATTAAAAAATAATATTGGACTATATTACTTATAGATATTAACAAATGTCAAAGGAAGCCTTATTGTAAAATGTAAGACAGTAGGTACACTATTTATTAGTGACTAATAAACTTGTATAAATGCCATAAAGGAGCTTTATTATAAAGTGTAAAACAGTACACTATTTATAAGGCTCTGTTATGACATTATTATTATTTTACTGTTCAACACTTTACAATAAGGCTCCCTTTGATTACTGTGGATATGTATAATGTGGTAATAAAGTACAATATTATATGTAAAATATGTGTTTTCAATAAATTAATGTGCTTACAAGGTAGTAAACTAGTCTGAAATGTTTAATAAGCACTTTTGGATGTGATATATACATGAACACATTTGGCTCACTATTTGGCAAGAAATCGGACAGTTTTGTCTCTTCCCCGCCCCGTCCTTAATTAATGAATAATAAACATTTATTAATGATTTAAAAAGTGTTTACAGGTGAATTATTAACCTATCTATAAACTATTTATAAGCCATATATAAGTGGAGCCTTATGGTAAAGTGGTACCCACTGTGTAAAACAAGTAAAAAAAATGTAACGACTTTTAAATCTCCTAAATTTATATTATTTTCACAGTTGAACAGAGCTCTCTGTTCACACTACTTTCTCTTAAAGTTCTTTTTTTCTTTCAATAAACTCAGGTAAAATGGAAATATGTTCTGTGGTCACACGAATAAAAGTTGAAATTTGTCTTTGAAAACCACAAACACCCCGTCCCTTCAAACTAAAGAGGAGAACCACCGTTGGCTTGTTATCAGCTCACAGTTTAAAAGCCTGCCTCTCTGATGGTATAGGGGGTGCATTTAGTGCCTCTAGCATGGGCAGCTTACACACGTGGAGAGACAATGTCAATGCAGAACAATATGAAGTTTATTCAGAACAATGTCTGCACCCATCCAGAGAATAAGACAGAGAACTGATGAGCAGCTAAAACCTGCATCAGACAGGAACGGGTCCACAGTCCTGTTTTAAATTCCAGCAGCTGCTCCCTTCAGTGCCTGCAGTTAAAAAAAGAAACAGTCCTGCTAAACCTAACTCTGTCCCAACCTTTTTTATATATGCTGTTGCCCTATAATATTAGCTTATCGTTTTAAAAATGAAATTTAATTTTCTTAGTTTAAATATTTGATATATTTACTATGTTATATGGGTTTATGAGATTTGAAAATGATCACATTTTGTTTGTATTTACATWTTATACAAAATACCTTTTTAAAATGTATTTATTGGGGTTGTTAAAATGAATATCATATTCTAACCCTGTTGATCTATCTACACAATGTTAGGAAAATAATAAAAATAGTATTATTATAGATAGATAGATAGATAGATAGATAGATAGATAGATAGATAGATAGATAGATAGATAGATAGATAGATAGACAGATAGATAG